AGTTTATGTTTAAATATATAATTTTGTTTTTCTCATTCAGTAAGCTAATCGCATTATTTCTTATATTTTCAGACATTATTGCCAGTTACTTTTAGTTAGGCAACTAATATTACAGCGTAGAATCACGATCATCGAGCAAAAAGACAATGTTAATCACCAATTTTTGAAGATACAATATCAATATTGATGAAAAAACAATGTTTTCAAATTTATCTATTGGTCTTAACCATATCGTGACCAAAATGTATTTAAAGAAGAAAACCACGATTTGCAAGACTCTCTTACACTGGTTTGGGGAATAAACGAGAGAAAACGCTTGCATTATTTCTATAGAGTAATTTATACGTGCCGGTGTAGTTTCCAAATAGAAGGGGTTCTGAATTGAGTAGCGACTCTTCAGTACTTCTTGGAAAACACACACGGAGGGGGGTAATTCTCAACCTCAACACGGCGTATCCCAATGGCTGACAGGGAACGTCCTGCAGATATGTGGGACAGGTGTCAATAAAGCTTTGGCAAATAAACACCTGCGAATCAACCCGCATGGCATAGGGCAGCAGCTGTCATTACAGAATCGGGTCGGTAGAGAAAAATCTCTTTACCGGTCTGATACTGAATAATCACAGGCGGTAATCATAATCTAACCGGTTGTGATACTGCGAAGTAACCGAACGATTACCGGTGAAAGTAATCCCTCATTTGTTGGTCAATAGCTACGGGTGGAAGAACTGACATGTGGTAGGGCACTTCATTGCCCTGGATCTGAGAAATTGATCCAAAGCCAGAAGAGCTAAATTAGCCAACGGCATTGAGATGTGGAAAGCCACGATATGACTACCACATTAAATATCCGTAACGATATCCCCAGGATACAATAATGGCTGAAAATCCAAAACAAACGGCCCTCGGCCCCAGGCACCCCTTAAGTGGAAAGAGGGTGCTAAGAATCTCCCGGTCAGACAATAATGTTCCAAAAGTTAAAAGGATCGGTACGTGGACTATTCGAAGCATGTAGCAAGCAGGCAAAGCAGCAAATAGTATTAAAAAAATTACTCGCCTGAACATAGATATTTAAGATGCAGTTAAATGGCCAAGTTCTGGAATAAGAATTATAGATGAACACCATACTTATTATTCTGGAGAGGACACAAGAAACAGGAACGGCGTAGCGATAATAGTAAAAAGGGAAATAGCTAAAGCAGTAATAGGATCTACGCCCACATCAGACAGAGAAATATTCGAAGATGCAGCACGAATTCCGACTGAAATAAACAATCCCTACGGCCCTACTTAAAGCTATCAGAGGTACACCTAATCACAGCTCTTACGAAGCTATTTAACAACATCTACGAGACTGGTTACTTACCAAAAGACTGGCTACTATCAATATTCATTTCACTTCCTAAAAAAACCTAGAAGAACAAAACAAAAAGAACATAGATTAATTAGTTTGATGAGTCATATACTTAGTATTCCTTACTATCATTCACTGGCGCATATACACAAAATTAGAAGAACACATGAGTGAAGTTTAATTTGGATTCAGAGCAGGACTCGGAACGAGAGAAGCGTTTTTTAGTTTGCAAGTTCAAATTACAGAGAGTCAGGGATGTCAACTGCGATGTATATGCATGTTTCATTGATTTCGAGAAGGCATTTGATAAAGTCCCACATGGGAAACTAATCGATATCCTAAAAACATCAGTACTCTATGGTAAGGATACACGACTGTATCAAACTTATATCTCCAACAAAAAGCAACGGTCCGATTAGAAAATGAACTGTCCGAGATCTTCACAATCGAAAAAGAAGTTAGACAGGGTTGCACATTGTCACCGGCATTATTTAACATATATTCTGAAAACATCTTTAGAGAAGTCTTGGACAAATCAGAAGATGGGATTGCTGTAAATGGCCAACTAATAAACAATATTAGATATGCAGACGATACAGTGTTGCCGGCAGATAATGCGAAGGGGCTCCAAAGGATGATAGATAACGTTGTAAAAACATGTAACAAATACGGCCTGAAACTAAATTGCAAAAAGACAAATATAATGATCATTAGTAAGAACACCAACATAAACGCCCAAATTACAGTTTGGCGATAGACCGTTAGAGAGAGTGGAAAAAATATGCTATTTGGGCTGCAATACTAAGGATACTTGGGATCACAGCTACGAAATAAAAATTCGTATTGAAAAAGCCAGAAGCTCTTTCAACAACCTTAGTAAGATTCTTGCAACTTATATTTAAGTATCAATATACGCATAAGAACTCTTAGATATTACGTCTTTAGTATCCTCCTCCATGGAGTAGAAAGCTGGAGCCTTACAAAAGATGCCATAAAACGATTAGAGGCATTTGAAATGTGGTGCTACCGACGTATGTTGAGGGTCTCATATATACACCACACAAGTATATAACTATTCTTCTGAGGCTAAGAAAAGACAAAGAAATTATCAAAACCGTAAGGAACAGAAAATTGGGTTACTTCGGCCACATTATGTGTAATAATAAATACCCACTTTTACAGTTGATTCTACAAGGCAAGATTGAGGGTAAGAGAGGCACTGGACGTTATCGTATATCCTGGTTGGCCAATCTTAGGAAATGGACTGGTCTAACGTCAACTGATCTATTTCGAGCTGCTGTGAATAGAATAAGATAGGTCTATGTGGTCGCCAACATCTTTAGAAGATTTAGCCAACATTTAAAAGAATTTATAAATTACTAGAATATGGCCCGATTCTCACGCATCGGGATTCTAGAACGTATGACGTTCTACTAAAATGCTTTTGTTTTGTCACACCAAAAATATTCTATGCATATGTATTTTGATATTAAAATGAATATTTATAATACGTACAAAACGGTACACTACAAATAAGCTATAGTATCGTGTTTGCCGCTTAGTAACAGATTTCGGTTTAATAGTCATCATCGTTTCTCCAGGGGTGGTAACAACTAAAAAACTAATTGTTTTTTTTATCATAATATATTCGTTATTTTCTATCCTTTCATTTGCTCTGTCGCGTGCTAGGATTAGATCAGTTGTTTATTTTGTACTCAGCCAGAGGCCGTTTTTAAGTCAATAAATCAAAATTTGTCTTATAGTAAATAATTTTATCCATAGTTCCCATATTTCGTATGTATTCATTGTATCCATATTTCGTATGTTGCTAGACGTTTATTATTAATAAAGATACTATGCAGTGCCTTTTTGGTAGTCGCCTAATTTTGTTTTTTGTATCTTAGTATATTCGTTATATCCTCCTCTTTTATTTGCTGTCGTACGTTCAGTTGTTTATTTTATACTCAGCTAGAGGCCTTCTTTTTAAGTCAATAAATCAAAATTGTTCTTAAAGTAAATATATTTTGATATATCGAATAGATATTTTTAATCTATAGTGTTCTATGATATGATTTTATCTCGTATGTCGCTATAAGTTAATTAATCACGAAAATGCTGTGTAGTGCCCTTTTGGTAAAGACTTTGTTTTTTCTATGCCAGTATAATCGGTTCCCCCTCCCCTTTCATTCAACGCATGATTACGCTCATGATACTATGATAAGATATTGCGCATAAGTCGTGACGTCATTGGAGAATTGCACCATAGATAAATAATATAATAGTAGAAAAGTTACACGTTCGAAATGTCAGTTTTTTGTATGTGTCAATAAATAATCTTTAATAAATAGTTTGGAGATATCCTTATGTGTACGATTATTGTAATTATTGAACCTCTTAACTCATTTTCGTCTAATAATTTCATCACAAAATGCATACAAATCCCATTTAACTTTAACAAGAATTCAAATTCTACTCTCCAACGACCGATTTTGCGCTACGGGAAGATCCTATCTTGTTATTCATAGTATCATGATTACGCTCAAATCGGACTAACCTTGTCTAATAGTCGTCATCGTTTTTCCACGGATGGTAGTAGTTATTGTGGATAGGTAGCGCTGAGGTTTTCATTACGGAAAGACAGACAGAATAAGCAAATTATAATATTGATAAACAATGGCTTTTCAGCATCCTCCAATAAGCTAATATTATGCTCGATATATTCATTAAATCATCATACCTGGAACAAGCTTGACATTTGACATGGCACCTTCGCCAACTTTTAAAAATTCCGATTTGCATTCACCAAAAATTAGACTGTCAAAATTGGAAGTGGATTTTTCATACAAAATTACATTCGAGATTTTTCTGACATAGAAACCGTTAATGTGGTAATTATTTATTGTATCTCCTTTTTTTTTAATCACGTGTATATTTAAAATTGTTTTGTTTTTTTTTAGAAAATTAAACATAATTTCATATTCTGTTTTATAAAATATTTATCAATTCACAAAACATTTGTTAATTATTGCTGAAGGTTACGCTTTTATATAACCTCATGTTTACAATGGCAAATGAATGCGACAAAAACTATCTAGGACAATAGGTGAAAAACATGGTTATTAAAAAAAACAAATAAATTAAGAAAATTATATTACAAAAGTTTCTATAAAATTAGAAACGATCAGTTTTCATTAAAATACAAAAAAAAAGTTCAAAATGAGTGTTTAGCACCATGTGCTTAACAATTCCACCAAACTTGTTTTATGTTATCACATCGTTTACGAAAAATATTCACCTTTGGAAGAAACGTTTTATAAAAATTCGCTATAAAGATCTTGCAAATTTTAAACAATCAAATCTACATTTCTAATTATTTTTAATAAGAATATGGGCGCTTTTGTCAAGATTAGATAAAAATAGGTTCCCAAAATTCTGACACAAAGATCTAATATCACGAAAGTGTTTCGATAACCTTGACCAAATTACGCATATTGTACTACGCAAGTTGTGTAGATATTATCATAGATGGTAATACGAGTAGTTCCAACGTGACATCCCTTATGGTTTAATAAATACTGATAATGTAGTATTCATAGAAGGTATACAGAGAGGGAATTAGGAGAAATAGTGGTCAATTTAAGAGAGGGTATTATATGATGGTAACTTTGGACGAAGGATTAAGGTATAAAAGTATTTTAGATGTACCTATGGATTATGTATAGATATACGGTCAATAAGGTTAAGAACATAATAATGAAGAGTACTGTGATCTGTGATAAAACACAATAAAACTGAAGTACTACGTAAATGTTGGTACTTTTTAACTTAAATGTTACTAAGTACTACTATTTATTGGGTTTTACTAGCAACACAGCGGTACAAATGTTAATTAAAATATGATTATATAATCTTTGGGATTTCTATTAAGAATATGCCTAGAAAATATACACATTATAGTAAGAAATGTTTAGGGAATTACCTAAAAATAAGGAATACAAAATTGACAGAAAGATATAATTACCAGACATTCAGATATTTGTGATCAAACGTCATTTAATCAAGATTATCTATAGTTGTTTTAGACATTTGACAACAACGCCGGGTACTGACTTAAAATTCTTATAATCAAAATTTTAGGTTTCTAAATAAATTTGGGACGATTTATGTGATAAATATATGTGGTAGAATGATTAAGCTACAAGTGTGAGGCCATGGTGGCCGACTAGATCACCAATTCATGTCATACGAACTACGCATAATATTCACCATATTTTTATACATTTTTTTAATCAGGACTGCTTTTTGACTGCAAAGATTCCTTTTTGAAATCGAAAATAGGTCAACTCTTTTTTAAAATGTTATAGAAGGTACAGACAAACTGTTTTAGAACACCTTTTTAAAAAGCGCATTGACCTCACCGGTAATTACGTAGAGAAATCAGAGATTATGTGAAAAAATGATATCATATTTTATTAGTGATACGATACTACAAATTTTAAGAAATAAATCAAGAAAATAAACACAGAAATTTGGCACTAATATGTCTGAAAAAGGTTCTTTTTTGCCTTTCGTTCAATTCACTCACTTGAGTTAACTTCAATTCCGGCAAATGCTTTCGGCAAACTTCTTAAAAAGACATGCAAAATAAATTTTTAAAATATTGCTGACACTGGTCATTATTACTTGTAACTCTGTTTTGCAATTACCGACAGTTAAAAATACTAAAAAAAATAATCGGTCTTCCGTCGATTTCTGTTCATAAGATTTAGTAGCAAAGAGCAACAATTCAGTGCCTATTTAATAATGATAATGTTCAGTCGTATAAGCAAAATATCAACATTTACTTCTGTTTCTATTAGAAAAATGCATATGATCTGCCATTTGTCATTTATTTTAATCGTCTGATATTATGCGTAGATCTTTCGTTAAAAGTAATTTAAAACATTACTTATCAAATACTTCCCACAATACAATATATTGATTGATGTCTCTTAAACAGATGCTATAGATATAAACAATACGGGAACCGTCATTTTTTTATTATACTAAGCAAACTAAAGATTTTATTTGTTATATACATATATTTAAATATTTATTTATATATTTTTTAATTTAATTTTAATTCTTAAAAACAATTAAAACGCTACAGATCATTTAACAATAACGAGGTATTACGTTAATTTTTTTGTAATATGCGCCACATCAGTGATGTCACACAATCATTTTAATTCTAAACAGATCGAATTTGTATAACAAACATCTTGATTAATTTATAACATTAATTAACTTCCAAATAAATTCACAAAATGAGTAAAAAATGACTAATGTTTTTGAAAATGCGCAATTTGGTTTGTTTAGAATCCAAAAATCAACAAAACGTAGTGGTATGACGTCACGATAAGAACAACGTATTGCTTTAAACATAATTGGATTTACATGACTAATTTTGACAACTTACAATTCAATTGTCACTTAATAACGAAGTTATTGGTAGTTATAAAAGGTTCCTTTGGGAAAAACTAATACATATATAGAAAGAAATATGTATTTGTAACAAAAATCTATAAACTAATTAGAAAATCGTTGCTAATTTTTGCTTTGTTGTCATTCACCTATTATATTTTGAGTAATAGGATCGATCCTATTATATTCGCTGTCTAATAGGAATTATTCTTTGATTATGAATTATTCTTCGTATTTCTGCTTCCAGTTATTGTTAAGTAATATTAATAAAATGTAGCCCAATTAAAATTAAAAAGGTTTTCTTTTCTTAATGAAAAATTATGGAAATATGGAAAATTTGTGTGATTTTAGTGACGGAACCCGCAAGTAACCACTTCCTGCGCAACAATTTTATAATTTTAACATATTCCACTTCCTGACTAGCCGATAATACTAAAGTTCCATGTCGAATTGGTCTTCGGAGGCGTTGTGGTTGATTTCGGGCTGTGGCTTTCTTGGAGGTAATGGTCTGGAATGGTTTTGTTTTCTAACTACGTTCTTAGCAGAGCTGCCTAAGATGGTGTCTGGAATTTCGAACTGAGGGGGTGTTTTGGAGATTGGAGAGTTCCTTAAGTTCAGAAGGACTGATTTTTCGTATACTATTTTTGTGCCTGCAACATATAAACATTATGTATTAGCAATATTTATGGTGTTATATAAGGTCTTTATATGGTTTGGCGGGCCGTGTAAGCTTGCTAGAGAAAAGGTTCTTTTCAATGTTAAATAGTTGAGGGATAATAACTTACATCTGTACTTAACGGAGTCTTAGTTTATTCCGATTCTTGAACTGTATGTAAAAATGTATACTTGCAATCACGCAAATTGTTAACTTAGCTTCAAGAATCATGTTGTGTTTAAACCGATACTTTTTTGAAAATTTCTTTAGAAATTACTTTAAAATAGTAATTGGAGATTTGAATGAAAAATCGGAAGGAAGGAAATGTATTTACCCCACATTGGTAAGCGTAGTCTCCACAATAAAGAAAATCGATCATGTGCTTATAGATACTAGACATTTGATTCAGACCACTATCAAGTTGGCACAAAGATTCAGGCTAGAATCTCAAATGATAAGAAGGAGGGAAGCAACAAAACAACCCGCTACAATATTAAACTTCTCAAAAATCCTTAAACACTAGAAATGTTTCGAAACTATATCGAAACTAAAAACATAACTAATGAGGATCCAACAACTAGTGAACACTGGGAAACGTAAAAGAACAAACTTAAGGAAGCAGCAAATAGTATACTAGGACTTGAAAGACCACCAACCTGCAATAATGGTTCGATGCTGAATGTCAGGACATTTATGGAAGAAAAAGTGAAGCATGAAAAGCGAGCTTTTGCAGCAGTGAACTTGAAGATGAAATCCACCAGCTTCACGAGCAAGAAACAATACATCATTAACTGTGTATTCAGAGGGGCTTCTTGGTGATTATCAAAGTGATTTTAGGTCTGGTCGATCAATAGATTTTTGTGCTGAGGTAAATACTGGAAAAAACGAACGAATTCAATATCGATACCTACCACCTCTTCATGGATTATCATTTTTCAGTGCTATTAAGTAAATACTATAGAGCCACTAACAAATTCTACATTTGTTATAAACTATAATACTGGAAGGGTACAGGCTGCAGTTGTTAAGTAGAAATACAGGGTGAAAAATCACAAGCGTTTGAAACGCATGTCGGACTGGATAGGGAGATGCGCTAGAGTGTCCTCTTTTCAACATAGTTTTGGAAAAGGGGGTTAGAGACACCAGAAATAGAAAAAAATAGGAAATATTTTTAAAAAATCCCAATAAATTGTGGCATATGTAGATGATCTAGACTTCTAGACCTAATTGCTCGTACAATAGGCAAGCTAGAACAAATATACACTCAACAACAGAACCAAAAACATCGGCCTCCAATTCACTGTTAACAACTCTACCGTTGAACCGTTGAAGCGGTGGACAAATTCACATACTTAGGATACCTGATCGCCAATGAAAATTCCATAACGGAAGAAATCAAACGGAGAATAATTATTGCAACCAAGTGCTATATTGGGCTGCATGAATTCAATGAAAAGTAGAAACTTAAGCCAAAATACTGCCAGTGCTGACATATGGACCAGAAAAAACAGAAAATCTGCAAGATAGATGAAAACCTCATATTTGAACGAATAATCCTAAGAGGAATATTCGTTGGTATTTGTGAAAATGGTATTTGGAGGAGGAGGTATAACTATAATATATACCATAAATATAAACAGATATCTGGTAGTAATACACATATCTCATAAAAATAGGAAGACCAAGGTGGGCAGAACACATAGCAAAATCACAGCAGAATAAACCATCCTAGACGAATCCTTATGCCACAGCCAGTGGAAAGTAGGAGAAGAGTTAGGCCAAAACTTAGATAGAAGGATGTTCTAAGATAAATGGAATAGCTCGAAAAATAGGTGCAGCACACTGGCAATGGATAGGGATGACTGGCGAAATAGATTTGATAAGGTCGAGGCTATAGAGGTGTAGCAATATTGATCAAAATCATTTGTTTTTATCTAAACTTTGTTTTGGAAAAAGTTCAACAATACAATTTTTTTTATTGGGTAGACATATCTGGTCTGTTATTCCTATATTTTTTCTAAACCCTACTTGGTAATCTCCCAATACTCCCTCTAAAAAATTTTTCTATTTTTGCTTTCAACACTATATGTATAAGAAATAATATTAGCCAAAAATAATTATAATATAAATTCAAGGTAATTTCTTTATTTTTCAAACTGAAAAACATAATAATTCTGATACACATGAGTCTTCTGACTATGTGGATGTTCAGATATCAAATATATCTGAAACGTTTTGACTTTAGATGATGCGATGTGGCTACATGAATAGCTCTTCCGTTAGTTGACACATAGACTTCGACTAACCTAACCTAACCCTCTTATCTATGACTTCGACTGTTAAGCGTAGTCTCCGCCAGCGAATTTATTCTTTTCTGTTTTTCTACCTCTAACTACTGGCGTGGCTAGTAAATCAAATTGTCTGACAAACAACGCGTTAATTTATTAGAATATTTTTGCAGAAATTAATTGAATCGTTTATTTTTACGAGATTACTAAATTATAGTTTGTTATCGGTTGAAATGTAGGTTATCGCCAAGCAAAAATTCTATTTTAAGTGGTAAAAATATTATTTGTCCTTAATTGTAGTTAAATATTTACTTGATTAAATATTACATTACTCAAGGTTATATAATATGGTAGACAGGGGAAGAAAACAAGGACAAGAAAATAGCTTTTATAGATAAGTAATAAACAGTCACAAAATCACATGACATGAGTCCTTGTAAGTCTGAAAGAAAATGATATGGATCATACAAGAAAATATATAAACAGGGAATACATTTGCTAGTTAAATCGAATACTGAGTCTATATAAGACAACGAAATTAACACTTAGACAAGAAGAATATTTAAACTGTATTTCCTACAAGAATAAAATATAAGAAACGCTTCTCAAAGACGCTGGAATGAAATTTCTGGAACAATAATCCACGAACCGATGAGCTCTTATAAAACTACAGACAAGAAAAAAGTTAAGAACAAGAACGGATTACATCGAGTAATTGTAAAGAAAAAGGTATATTACAAGTATTTGCGAAATAAGACAGAGGAAATCAAGCTTAAAATAAGATTTTAAGGCAAACACCAATCAAAGTCAAATATGATTATTCGAATGGGTTTCGCAGTCACATACACATTACGAAACTCCCGAAAGAATTTTATTTACTTTGGTCCGTCCATTTTAACACCTGCTGTCTGATTCGTTTATATATTTGAGATTATTCTTAAATCTCTACTGTCTATATACCTAAATTTGCCATATTATGTAGTATTGGATTTTATACTGTATTTTCGTTATCCATTAAATATAATGAAACTGATCGATTAATATAAAAAAGAGAATAAAAGAAGCTAAGAGGAGAGAATGTTACATGAGCAGTGCCAAGAACTAGAAGAAATTGAGAAAAAAATATGACTTTTTTTAACATGCATAAAAGAATTTAGAGAATTAACAGGAATGAGAAAAAACACTTCAAACTAGGCAACTAAGAGATGAAAGGGGTGCACTTATACAGATATAAACCAAAAAATGCAGAAATGGACACAATATATAGCACAACTTTTTGAAGACAAAGAGAGAACAGAAGCACCAAAAGAATTTAAGGATGATACTGGGCCTAACATTATACGAGAAGAAATTGAATATGCAATGAAACAAGTAAAGGTGGTAAATCTACCGGGCCTGATAAAGTTCCTATCGAATTACTTAAAATTGTGAATACTGAATCTATTGATCTTCTTTTGGATCTATTCAATACCATAATATAGAACAGGTATAATACTAAAGAATGGCTCCAATCAACATTCATATTGCTTCCCAAAAAAGCCAATGCAAAGGAGTGCAATTAACATCGCACCATAGCTTTAATGAGTCATGTCTTGAAATTGTTTTTAAAAGTATTCACAATAGAATACATAAGAAATTAGATGAAGGCATAAGTAATTACACAAATGGGATTTAGGAAAGGACTGGAAACACGAGATGCACTGTTTGCAGTAAGTGTTCTTCTTTCGCAGAGATGCTTAGATTATTAATCAGGAAGTATATGCCTGTTTCATTGATTGTGAGAAGGCATTTGACAGAGTGCAGCATAATCGACTTAACGAAATTTTATTAAATAAAAACATAGACAGTAGAGGACATTAGAATCATCTGTAACCTCTATTGGAATCAAACAGCAAAAGTGAAAGTTGAAAACGAACTGACCAAGGATATCCAGATTCGCCTGGGTCCGCCAAGGGTGTATTTTATCACCCTTGTTATTCAATTTATACAGTGAAGCCATCTCAGAATTAGCGCTTGCCGAGGCAGTGATGGCCTTATAAATAAACGGTGAGCCACTTAATAACATAAGATATGCTGACGAACCGTCCTTCTGGCAGGAACACTAGAAGAACTGCAAACCCTTGCTGAACAACTAAATATAAT